CCCCAGAATTCCCCAGCCCGCCCCGCTTGCTGGGGAATTCTGGGGGTTTAAGTCCACCCATCTTAAAGTTGCCAAGGTGGAGAAACACTGGTCTAATATGCCCTCCAGGACTGTGATTTTCTAAGAGTTCCCCATTCAAGTACTAATCATGTCTGATTCTGTGAACCTTTTTTCCATGTTCAGCAAGCATCAGCCATCACAGCTATAGAAAGAATGGCAGTTCTGAAATCTGAACTGGTTTGATAAAAGACGGGGATGGAAGACCATCTGGGGCATTCCTGTTGGCTCCTTGCGTTGGTCCCGGTCCTAAACTCTGACGTAGGATAGATCTGGTGAGAAGAAGCCCAGGACCGTGAATTCTGCCCTGACCCTGCAAGGGTCTGCCCTTCCTGAGAAAGGGAAGACTCATGGTGGCACGCTGATTACAGACATACCCATGGAGTCCCACTGGATGCAGTTCACATCACACTGTTGGTGAAAATGCCCCCTTCTGCCTCGTGATCGTTCCAGAGCCAGGCGCAATCTTCCATTTTCCCAAGCATTTTAAGGAATTTTGAGCTTTACTTGCCGAATATTATTTTACTGGGGTTTTTTTATGTATCTGCTGATTTTTGGAGGCGGTGGCATTGTTTTAAAAGGTGTGTTTTTAAAAGTTTCTCTACCAACCAGGAAACCGTTTAGAAATTAGAGCCGTGCAAAGAGCCTTTCAAAATCTTCCAAAAATTAGCAGCTGAGAAACTAGGTGGACATCTTCCACAAATAACTTCAAGGTTAAGATCCATCCTCTCACTATTTCTTAGTCGGGGGCCAGGTTATTTGAACAGCTGCCTTTCCCCAATTTCATCTGCCCGGCCCACCAGATCGGGAAGACAGGGTATGTTACAGGTCCACTCTGTTTAAGGAGGTCCATCTAGTTGGACCAAGAAGAAGGGCCTTCTCTGTGGTGGCTCTCTCCCTGTGGAACATCATCCCCATGGAGATAAGACTGGCCCCCACCTTGATGCTCTTCCAA